TATATATATATATATATCTGAGAAAGGTGCTTTTAGTGCTACTACACGGTAATAAAAATCGATTTTGTCGTAATACATCTCATGTCCTTTCACAAACTACTTTAATTAAATGCCGGTTATCTACTGTCGTGCTCGGGGAGAATGTAATCGCGTATCTCCGCTGTGTATCTCTCTTGCAATTTAATAACACTAAGATAACGTCAGCAATTTTTGACATCACTCAATCGTTTAACACTCGTTAAACGGGCGAAACGTATTGTCGGCGATTGCACGGCAAAGTCGATTTCTGAAAAGCAGGCGGGTGAAAGCTTTTCGCCCGCTTAATTAGAGCTTTCACTCCGTTTACGGTTGGCCAACCTATATATTTCCGTGGCACAAAATCGATGATCGCAATTTTCTCCGTCAAATCTCGTTCTTGGAGTAGATCGGCAAGTAACACGTGATATGGGATTTTACAAGTTTTTTACGAACTGTGCGGCTTTGAATACACGAGATAAGAATCGCCGACTTATCGGTGCAGACGGTTAAAATATATTCTTGCAATGCGGGACCGCATTGCGTCCACAATACGCTATTGCCTGCATATTTATTTGCGAGAAAGCACGGGATCTCCATTGCAACACATTTCAAAAATTCGTTTCAGAGATTCTGCGTTGTCAAGCAACCCAAAATGCCAGTTTCACCCATGTGGAAAGCGCTTATTCTGAAAAAGCTTACACCTTTTATTATATATTTTCAGTAACAAAGGGAGAAACACAGATACGTGCTTGTTTTTAATCATAACTTACACTGTTCCTAAAGAGAGAAAGAACAAACTTTTCTAAATAAAGAAAGTGGTATAATTTTAACTTTAACATTTTACACATTGGAAGCAGAATTAAAGCGACTCTCGTACACGAATGAGATTTATTACCACAAACAAAATCATAATGCAATAAACATCATTTATATTTTTCATATTTATGTAATGGAACTGATTATGTTGTTTCAACATAATTTACACTCCACCAAAAATCAAGGAAGCGTAAACAGATTATAGGGACATAAAGAGAGAAAAAAAGATTAAAATAATTAACTTATTCAACATTTGTGAAAGATGAATATTATTCCTATCATTTGATTAATTATTTATGTCGTCTCTGATTTCTGGAAAGAACCGGTTTTGCTTAATGACATCCACTTTTCTCGGTCTGCTCATTTTGTTTTGCACGTACAGATGACCCATGTTAATCAGTTGCATGAACGCATGTGACACTTTATCCGCGTGCGATCTTCACTTTCATTCGATTGAGCATATCCTATTTGAACGGCAACCTAGATCCTGTCGTTGCACTCGTGCTAATACAATGTATTATTATATATCGCAAAGTAATTTCTCTTAAATGATGAGACTGGCAATTATTCGTAATATTTATTTTTATCCGCATAATCTTATTTTACATCAATAATGGCAATTAGCACTTTTACGTTACCGTATTACTCTCTTGATCTTTAATAGAATAATCAGCGTTCACTTTTACTCTCGCATATACTTCTCCATTTTGATAGAAGAAACAGGCACGATACAATATCTATATTTTCGCGTCCGAGATTACCGTCGCAACATGTAATTTTCTCTAGAGAAAAGCTAATATTTCAAAAATGTTTATATTATCTCGCATTCTTGTTGCGTTTAATACTTTATAATTTATTAATTTACGTCCGATATTTAAAATAGCCAAATAATTCTCGAGAAATAATTATAAATATGTCATTAAATATAATTATTATACGACCAATATAAAATAATCAAAATGTAATGATAACAGATAATTTAATAGAAAACGTGTGTTATAATTTTTGCAGTCTCTCCACGTAGGAAAGTTTATATTCTCATATCTTTTTCTATTTCTCGCTACCTCACCCTACCAGATATCGGTTATCGATCGATCAGCGAACTGCAGATGTAGCGTGCGTGGTGGATGCAGGTGTAGCCGCAAATCCCCTCTCGACAAAGCAGTGACTTAAGTCTTAATCGCGCATTTCCCCCTTTTTGAAAAGTGCTTTGATGAGGACGTTTACAATATCCGTGTAAACCCGTGTAAACAACTTTACTCGCTGTAATTTACGAGAAAATTCGTGGTTTCTCGATTTCATTACTCAATGTCGACACAAGTTTTTACTCTATCGACCATGCTGACCACATCAATTTACTAAGAGAATGCAATGTTCCGACGTCTATTAAATCATGATTTATGTTATAAAGTTGGTCGTTTAATAAAATCACGGATATGAGGTATGGAGATTGTCGAAAACTGGAATAAACGGGCGCATATACGATTTAATATATTATATAATAAATGCAACAAACACGAATAACAAAAATCCAACTAAATTCTACTCTTTTCCTTTCTCATCAAAAAGCCATGTTATTTTACGCGAAGCTAATTAATGCAGTAATTTTATTTTTTAAATGTAATGCAATTAATATCCGCATTCTCAATATTGTTGAAAAGAAATTTTGTTATTTTGTGTTGATTTTTATATTTACTTTTTTTAATCCCTAGCTATTTGATTTATATCATTGCGTACAAATTTCTGCTATTGAAATATTTGGGCAATAGTTATTAGTTATTTCGTTAAATGATTCGACTCGTTCAAATGATACTTGTTGGAATTGTTTCTATAATATGCAACATTTTCTCAGCAACATTAGGCGAGTTCTCGTTTCGTTATGTGACGAATTCTACATATATCTTTGCCATCAGGAATGACCCACGGCGAAACCACATCTAACAATGCGAAGCACATCCAATTT